AAACGGGGTGAGGCAACCCCGCACTAGCTGCTTCCCCCCAGCAGACCAGGGAGACGCGAAGCTAGCGCCCCCCCCCCCCCCCCCCCCAGCAGACCAGGGACACAGGGAGCAAAGCCGCAGCGGCAGCGGGGTGCCGCGCGAAAATGGCGATCGGGGCTTTTTTGCGTAAAAGCGCATCTAGATTGGCACAGATGCTTTTCCGCAAAAAGTGCTTTTGCAGAAAAGTGTCCGTGCCAATCTAGATGCTCTTTTCCGAAAATGCTTTTAACGGAAAACTTTTCCGTTAAAAGCATTTGTGGAAAATCATGCCAGTCTAGACGTAGCCAATATGTGATACAGTAAGCAGAGAACTAGGGGTCACCAAATGAAATTAATTGGTACCAGGTTTAAAACAAACCAAAAGACATTTTTCTTCATGTAGCGCACAGTCAACCTGTGGAACTCCTTGCTAGAGGATGTTGTGAAAGCCAGGGCTTTTACAGGGTTCAAAAAGGAGCTAGATAAATGCATGGAGGATAAATCCATCAATGGCTATTAGCCAGGATGATCAGGGATGGTATCCCTAGCCTCTGTTTGTCAGAAGCTAGGAATGGGTGACAGGAGAGGAATCATGTGATGAGACCCTGTTCTGTTCATTTCTTCTGGAGGCATCCGGCATTGACCACTGTCAGAAGACAGGATACTAGGCTAGATGGCCCTTTAGTCTGCCCCAGTATGGCTATTCATAAGTAGAGCAAAATACAGGGGTGGATCTGGAATTCGAAATCCCTTAATTCATGGGTACTTCTGCTGGGGTTTGGGACTCTCTAAGTAGAGAGAGAGGCATCAGCTACCTGGATCTGGATTTGGGGATGTTCTATTCAGATCTGTCACTTATACGTTTGATTCTATTTTCTTTCAATGAAGTGGTAACTGACAGCAATGCCAGATCCCCTCCCCTTCTTTCTCTGGCAGTTGGAAGAAGTTCTCCGAAAATGCCCCAGTTTTGTAGCAATGTTCTTTATCTATTAATGGGTCTGATTGGAACACCAGGCCTGAATGCCTCTTATTTCAGGGGGAAGTTCCTATTTTGATCCAGATCTCTGGCTCAGGCCCATCTTTGGGTATTAGATCCTGGCGTTCCTATATTGACAGAGGGACATTCTACAGAAGATGGAAGGACACCACGGAGAAAGATTCTTATACAAAGTGCTTGCAGCACAGATGATTGTGTAACGAAGGCTTCTGTGTTACCACCCTGTAGCTCCAGGCACTGCAGTGGCTTCTCATGGAATTTTATTTGCATGTTTACAAGGTGTAAATCCGAACAGCTGGAAAAGAGCCACAATCCCTGAGATCACGGTGTACTACAATCAGACGCCATAGTTACAGGGGGAAACAATGGTAGACTCGATGGTAACGCTCATTTCAGTAATTAAAGCAACGATCAAGATTAGACGTATACTCGTGAAGCTGCTAAAACGTCCCTGGAAAAGAAGAAAAATCTAGTCATCCCTCTCTCTAAATGCACATTGCACTGAAGAATTGGCTATTCCTCAGTGTTAATCCAGGAAAAATGCCTTGCACAGTACAAGCCACATACATCAGTGATGCTGGATGAATGGGGAAGAGGGAGGCCTGCTGGGAGTGATAGCAATGAGTCCAGCTATTCTGGGGAGGATCTGGGAATCGTCAGACCCACTGAGTGGAGTCAGGGGCCTGGGTCTGATCGTTACCAGCTAGGGAACACAGAGGAGGGATCAGCTCTGTTAAAGAAGCCCAGAATCCAGGCGAGAGCTACGAAAATGCCCACCTGAAACAAAAAAACCCAATTCAAGACCATGCCATGGAGAGCTGCAAGGGGCAGGAGGCCCAGAGGGAAAAGCCTGGGTTGTGGGAAGACCCTGGTTACTAGCGTGCCGAAGCCCCTACAGCGGGAGGAAGGGGAATGACTTAATGTTACCACGCCCAGGCTTTCTTTTCTTTCTTTTTTTTCTGGACTCTGGTTACTAGTTTGCTCTCTGGAGCGCTCATGATATTGGGGCTGGACTCGATGGCCTCCTGAGATCTCTTCCAGCCCTAGGATTCTAGGACATCGCTGGACATGATTTGGGGCTTTATCTTCTCGTTAACTTGCCTTGCCAAACAGTGGAAGAAGAAAAAGGGGCTAACTCCATTTTGGGGCAACGGAGAAATGTGTGCTGCTCATTATGGACTTTGACACCCAGCTTTGCAGCCATTTCTCTTGCACAAGGGGCCAGATTCTTTGTGTAAGTCACGGCTGCCCTGCTGAAGTCAGTGGAGCGATACCAGTTCACACCTGGCTGAGAATCTGGTCTAGTTCACTCAGATGCATGCTTTTCTCCTCCCCCGTCGATAAGATTTCGAGAATACTCCGGTTTGTGATCGGTTTAGCTCCAAATGTGGCAGATAACACAACACCAGCCATTATGATGTTAATCACGAGTTATTTATTAACACAGAAGACACAAATCACCCTGGGAAGCTTTGCAGTCTTAATCAGACACAGATAACGCAGCTTGCCCATAGGTCAACAGCCCAAACTTTAGTCGATGCTCATAAAAAAAAAAAAAAACCAAAAAGGTCGGTAATAGCTGGCCTGCTCTGGCAAGTGCAACACAAGGAAAGTTTTGAATGAGGCCAGAGAGGGCCATGTGTAGGCACTGTGGAAGGTTTGGATGGTGGAAGAAGGACCCAAGAAAGCAATGGGCGGTGGGGGGGATTTAGGATAGATGGATAGTAGGGCAGTAAGGGTATGTCTAGACTACAGGGTTTTGTTGACAGAAGTTTTGTCGACAGATACTGTCGACAAAACTTCTGTCGACAAAGAGCGTCTAGACTACATCAAGGCCCCTTTTGGCCTGCATCGATGTGCCAGATGTAGCTGGTTTAATAAGAGGCCTGGGTCTTATTGCCCGCGATGATTTTATTCTGCCCAGTAAGTGGTCCCCTTGGAACATCTGCACCTGCTCTGATATTGCCTCTTCATAGCCTTTGACTGGCTTCTTCTCCTCTGCCACACGGGTGTTCTGCCTGGCACCCCGTGAAGTGTTTCCCTTGATGCCAATGGGCATTGGCTCAGCCAGTGAGAAGCTAGGGTATGTCTACACTACCACCCTAGTTTGAACGAGGGTGGTTAATGTAGGCAACCGAAGTTGTAAATGAAGCCCAGGAAATTCAAATCCCGGGCTTCATTTGCAACTTCAGTTGCCTACATTAACCACCCTAGTTCGAACTAGGGTGGTTAATGTAGGCAACTGAAGTTGCAAATGAAGCCCGGGATTTGAATTTCCTGGGCTTCATTTACAACTTCGGTTGCCTACATTAACCACCCTCGTTCAAACTAGGGTGGTAGTGTAGACATACCCCTAGAACATTGGGGCTGAGCCAATGCCCATTGGCATCAAGGGAAACACTTCACGGGGTGCCAGGCAGAACACCCGTGTGGCAGAGGAGAAGAAGCCAGTCAAAGGCTATGAAGAGGCAATATCAGAGCAGGTGCAGATGTTCCAAGGGGACCACTTACTGGGCAGAATAAAATCATCGCGGGCAATAAGACCCAGGCCTCTTATTAAACCAGCTACATCTGGCACATCGATGCAGGCCAAAAGGGGCCTTTGGCTGACGGTAGCAGGAGAAGGAGGATGAAGATCTTTGGGCCCAAGAGCTGGCTTATGAGAACTCACGCCTTGGTCTGATTCAAGTGGCACCCCGTTATCAACTCCTTCCCTTTCCCGCACCTAGAACGGCGCGATTTCAGCCTCCAGGGACTTTCTTCAAGTGCAGGTGAATCCCATTCTTGGAGCGCAGGATGAGCTGAGGTATTCGGGTCGGGGGGTTGGCCAGATCCGGTGAGAGTTCGAAGCGGAGCAGAGTCAGGGCCAGGGCCACCTTTATCTCGTTCAGGGCGAACTGCTGCCCGATGCAGTTCCTGAGGAGAGAGACCCAGAAGAACGTCAGCAGCTGTGCTCTCCCCCACACAAAGCTGGAGACTCGCTCAGTCGTTCACCCTCTCCTTTCTCTTTCATTAGCCCCAAACTGGACCTTATTTATGGTTTTCTTCAGTTCTCTTAGTCCTGGCCTACAGACGCAGCTGTAGAGCAGATGGCTACGTAGCAGATCCAACAGATGAGACTCACCTGCTATCTGACGGGTGGTATCCAGCCTATTTTCACGCTTAACCAACCCGCTCTGCTCTCCCACGTGTGCTACTAAAACTCCCCAGGAAGTTCCAGACTCTCCTCTTAGACTCTTGCCCGTCTGTCCTATTGTTGGTCTCTGTGTGCAACTGTTCTTGTCCTTATCCTGCCTTAAGGTGGAATCTTGCAGCATTTCCCTCCCCTACCCCACCTCCCCAATAGATCAGGACAAAGGTGCACTTCCCCGAGTATCAGTGCCTTACTACCTGGAAGGCTTGACTGGGCTTCAGGCACCTGTGTCCTTCCTCTGGGAGTCTGTAGCCAATACTAGTGAGCAACAGTCAGGGTGGCCTGTGGCTATAGGCAGACTCGGCCGCCGCCTAGGGTGCCCGATGATGACATCACGGGGGCGCCCGGGGCACCCGCCGATGACATCAGTCCATTGACGGCCCTGCAGGCGGGGCGCCGATCGTGCATTCTGCCTAGGGCGCCAGCCAACAGTCTCCTTCAAATGCAGTGTGGCTTTGTCTAAATGACAGCTTTTGCTGGAAGAGGCAATGCAAATGTAGAGCTGATTAGCATTGTGTCACGCTTCATTTGCCTAGTCTATTCCGAGCCGGTTTTGCGCAAAGGGTTTTTGCGCAAAAACAAGCAGTGTGGCCGTAGCTGTTTTGCACAACCCCCCTTTTTGCACAAGAGCCTTATGCCATAGTGTAGACAAGGCCTGTGTGTACTGGCATTGCCTTTTCTTGACACACGCCGCTAATCGAAGTTTGGCGCTCTACGAATGTTTCAGCTGGAAACAGAAATGAACGGAGTCTAGTATTATCTTGTTTATTTTCAAGGAATGTACAAAGTCCCATCTCTCTGAACACAAAAGGAACCAAGAATAAAAGGAGCCGTTTCTTATCTTAAAAGCCACAAGTGTCTCCAGCTAACAGCAGACCCAAAGTCTTTCTCCCTAGCTTTCTCTGGGGTCAGGATGGACTTACAGGCTCCTGCTTGGCTTTCTTGTCTCCCTCTCTGTTTTGATCCATTCTCAGTTTCTGTGTGATCTCTCTTCCCACACCCAGTCTCCTCTTGGCTGTAATTCTCTGATCTCATTTCCATTGCGGCCTCCAGTTGCTACCAGAATATATATAACAGCTGATGTCAACTTGATAGAAAATACTAACATTGTAAATCTTTGGGGTGGGACATATCAGTTGCTTTGTTTTTGTGCTTTGGTCTAGCCTAATGCGGCCCAAGCTTTGTTCTTGCCTGGGGTCTCTGCACAAGGACTTCTGCACAAACAGAAAAATATTCTAAATCACATTTAACAGTGCAAGGGAGGGGAGAAGGATTTTCTTCCCTTTGACTTGTAATTAAATATACTTCACCTTGACCCAGCGGCAAAAGGCAGGAAGGCATGAGAATGTCTGTCGGATATGTTCTCTGGAGAAAATCTCCACGGATCAAACACCTGGGATGAAAGAATTTGTTTTTAAAAAGCAAACAACGATCCTTTCTGTTTCAAAGCCAATTCTTTCAGAAGTGACTTTTGGTGTCTCAGGCTATGTCTAGACTGCAGGCTTCTTTCGAAAGAGGCTCTTTCGAAAGCATCTTTCAAAAGAGCCTCTTTCGAAAGATCGCGTCTAGACTGCAGGCGGATCTTTCGAAAGAGCAATCCGCTTTTTCGAAAGAGAGCACCCAGCGAGTCTGGATGCTCTCTTTCGAGGAAGCCCTATTTACATTGAAGAACGCCTTCTTTCGAAAGAGGAACTTTCGAAAGAAGGCGTTCTTCCTCGTAAAAAGAGGTTTACCGCCATCGAAAGAAAAGCCGCGTTCTTTCGAAATAATTTCGAAAGAACGCGGCTTGAGTCTGGACGCAGGGGAAGTTTTTTCGGGAAAAGGCTACTTTTCCCAAAAAAAACCCTGAGTCTGGACACAGCCTAAGTTACAGAGGTCTTGCCGTGTTAGTCTGTACCTATAAAAACAACAAGTACCGTAAAATCTCGTGTATAATACGCACCGATGTAGACTGCGCACCCTGACTTTGAAGTCTTATCACAATGGAAAAATTTAGACTCCTATATATAATGCGCACCTATGAAATGAACCTGTAAGTAGCCCCCGGGCCGGGGAACTCCCCCTTTGGTCTGCACAGAAATTTTCCCATTGCAGCGCGGCGCGGGGGCCGCTGCTCCGCCAAGCTCCCAGACAAGGCAAGGAGCTGGTGGTGCCTCCAGGCTGCAGCACCCTGGCTTGCTGCCTGCCCGGTGCTCCTTCAGGCTGCGCCCAGGGGCCCCCCAAGAGGACGAGGGGCAGGTTTTAAACTCTGCCACCGGCTCCCCAGGCTGCGCGCGCGTTTCCCGGGCGAGCCTGCAGGTGGGAGCGGCATGTCCCTCCCTCCCGCTCTCCTGCAGCCCGGTGCCGGGGAGCGGGCGAGGCTGGGCTTGGTACTGGCAGCACCACCGGCTCCTCGCCTTGTCCGGGAGCCTGGTGCTGCGGGAGGGAGGGACACGCCGCGTCCCCCCGGACAGCTGCCCGCGTGCCACGCCGAGCTCATGCCTGCTGCAGGGGCCCCAGAGTGCAGCCTGAAGGAGCACCGGGCAGGTAGCAAACCAGGGCGCTGCAGCCTGGTGGCGCCACCAGCTCCTCACCTTGTCTGGGAGCCGGCCGGGGCGGTGGCCCCTGCGCCTAGCTGCAGCGGGAAAGTTTCTGTGTGGAGGAGACAGGGAGTTCCCCGGCCTGGGGCTACTTACAGGTTCATCGGCTTCTGAATAAACTGCCAAAATAAAATTTTAAAAAATAACTGCTATGTATAATGCACACCCTGACTTTGACCCCCCCAAAAATCAGGAAAAAGTGCGCGTTACACTCAAGATTTTATGGTAGTCCTACAGCACCTTTGGGTGAGGGATTAACAAAAAAATACAGACTCCTGAGCTTTCATGGGCAAAACCCACTCTATCAGATGAGTTGGAGTGGATGGCTACGTTCTATAAAAGGAGCAGTTTCTTATCTTAGAAGCCACAAGTGTCTCTAGCTAACACCAGACCCAAACACTTTCTCACTAGATTTCTCCAGGGTCAAACTGTGCTAACAAGCTCCTGCTTGGCTTTCTTGGCTCCTTCTCTGTTTTCATCTATTCTAAATGTCTGTGTGATCTCTCTTCCCACATCTAGTCTCCTGTCAGCTACAATACTCTGATCTGGTGTCCATGTTTTGGATGTTCAATTTGAGACAAAGCTGGACAATGTCAGACAAGAAACAGGGCACAACTAAGCTTTAACAGCGAAGGTAGTTATCTATGGAATCACCGAATGAGGGACGCGGTGGATTCCTCATAGCTTCAAGTCTTGACATGGGTATCCCATCCTGATTTAAATAGATTTCTCTAGCTCAGCTCGAACTGGTCTGCTTGATACTGGAGTTACTGCACGAGGTTCTCTGCCTTGTTATGCAGGTCAGACTGGAGGATCTAATAGCTCCTTCTGGCCTTACAATATGTCTCTTTCTCTCTCCTCCACTTCGACCGAGGAAGGGTCAAGTCCCAGCCCTCGGAAAGCCAGGTCCTTTTAAGGAAGTATACTAATTAACTTGCTGATGAACTAAGTTGGGAGGCATCAGCAATACAGGAGGAACTAAAGTAACAAAAAACGGATGAAATTTAATAGTACAAAGTTTGAGGTTATGCACGTAGACTAATAAGTATTTCTGTTATCAATCAGTTGGAAACAGAGGAGGAGATACTACAGGCTGTCTTAGGCCATGTATACACTTACCCTGAGATTGACACTTCAAAGATGGATCTTCCGGAGTTCAATTTAGTGGGCCTAGTAAGGACCCACTAAATCAACCGCTGATGGTACCTCCACCAACCCCGATACTCCACGGTGGTTGCGAGGAGTAAGGGAAGTCGACGGGAGAGTTTCTCCCATCAATCTCCCGCAGTAGGGACATAGCAGAAATTCGATTTAAGGTACGTTGACTCCAGTTATACTGTTCTGATAGCTGGAGTTGCATATCCATGGACATGTCCTAGGATATATCAAACGAGGTCGTTCCGGTTAAGAGAGATGCATTAATGCCAAATGTAGGCTCTGGCAAAACCTCATCTGGACTAGTGTACAATTCTGGTCATGCAGAATTGAGAGAGATGATTTCAAATGGAAACAAGAGAAGAGTTTCTAGGATGATCGGGGAATGGAGAGCCTGCTTCATCAGAGGAGATTAAAAGTGCCGGCCCATTTAACCTCGCAAAAGAAAGAGTAGGAAGGGGATCTAACTGCTCTCTAAAGACATCAGATTAAAGCAGGGGAGTAGGTAAATTAGAGCAGGAGAAAGAGATATTTAAAGGACAGTGTTGGCACAAGAACAAATGAGAAGAAGGTTTCTAGGCATATGGGACAGCCTTCCAACTTTGAAGATGAAGCTTGATATATTTACGAATGGGATTAAATAACTTCATTGCCCATAACAGCAGGGGACTGGACTTCCAGTCTCTGGTTCTTTAGGGATCTCCAGCTGAGCACCCAAAAATCATTAGTCATTTTTGAGACTGGTGGCTATTGTGTGGTTAGCCACCTGTTTTCACACAGTGCAGCCCCTCAGTTGTATAAAGTGGATTTTAGCACTGACCACATGCAAGAATCAGGGAAAAAGTTTCCTTGAGGGCTTTGCCTGTCTGAAAGCTCAAATGGATTTGCTGCTCAAAACAAGATTGTGACACAGAGATCTAATGTTATTTTTGATGAATCTGAGTGAGGATGTCACCTCTCACTGGGGGGTTCCTCCAAAACCATTTAATAATAATCAATCATCTGCACATTTCTAGGACATCCACTGAGGATTAAAAAGCAAACAGTTAAATATGTCTCCCAGTAGATTGTTCCCGTAGCCAGTTTATGCTTGGCTAAGCTGCCACCTGCAGAAAAATCGGGGCCCACGATTTGAAAAGTGGATACTCGCACCACGTGCCCTACTTCGAGATGTGGGAGGGTTTCATTAATATTCAGAGAGTTTCTTGGAGATTCTCAGATAAAAAGATGGCACAGATATGCAGATAACTATTGAGTAAGTGCGATAAGAGACCCACCCATCAGAAGAGGAGGAATCAGCCTAGTCAACACAGAGGAGGCAGGTGGACTTACGAAATCCCTTTGCTGTTCTCTAGGGTTGCCAGATACCTTCACAAAAAATCTCAAACATGGTGGGGGAAAAAATTGGTTGAGCAAGAAAAAAACAAAAGAGACCAAACTTGTTAAGTGAAAAAAAAAAAGTCCTCACCGGCCTTCCGTCCGAGAAATTTTATATGTCCGGTATTTTCTGGGCTTTTTTACGGGACAGAACACGCAATTACCAGAGTGTCTGGACAAAAACCGGACACCTGGCAATGCTACTGCTCTCTGCTAATTCTGTCTTTCCTCGTTGACCAAGGCTTCTGACTAAGTGATTTCTCCAAGACCAGGAAGTCAGATGTTGGTAGAGCCAGGATTAAATGGAGGAGTCTGGACTTCATGGACATGCGCATGGATTTTCTTATGTACTTTTTTTGTGGGGCACTGGGATTGGGGTTTGTGTGGGGACTCGGGTGTGTTTTTATGAAGTAAGATGAGCCCATCCATACACCTAAACAGAGAGGGGAGACAAAGCTAGAAAATAACAAAACAGTGGGCAGGAAACCTGTGCAGCCTACAATCTTCAATCATAGGGACCTGTATGCCAAAGTGTTTAGCTAATAAAGGCGCTAGTTAGCTACTAAAATACATACACTGAATGCCTGGCTTGCAGCTGAAAGGGTCTCATACGGACAAAAGAAAACTTACCAGTGGATCTTTCCATATACTTGGGTTTCTGTGAATGAGATAGATGCTTACTGCAACCCAGGAGCCTGTAAAACAAAGGAGAGAAACATTTACCTATACAGCAAATACAGAAGGAAATTCTTAGTTCTACGATACACAAGAAACATGTTTCAATGATTACAGAATCATAGAACACTAGAACTGGAAGGGACCTCAAGAGGTCATTAAGTCCAGCCCCCTGCCCTCCTAGCAGGATCAAACACCACCTAGATCATCCCTGATAGATGTTTGTCTAACCTGCTCTTAAATATCTCCAGAAATGGAGATTCCACAACCTCCCTAGGCAATTTATTCTAGGCTACGTCTACACTGGCCCCAAATTCCGGAAAAGGGATGCAAAGCAGGTAAGTCAGAATAGGGAAATCCGCGGGGGATTTAAATATCCCCCGCGGATTTAAATAAACATGTCCGCCGCTTTTTTTCCGGCTTGGGGAAAAGCCGGAAAAAAGCATCTAGACTGGTGCGATCCTCCAGAATAAAGCCCTTTTCCGGAGGATCTCTTATTCCTACCTGAAAGGAATGAGATGGTATCTCATCTATCTACATTTGCTTACATGGTCAGAAGGTGGAAATTAGCAATGAGTTTCTACTGCAGCTATATCGTCCCCTGATTTAGCAGCCCATACGCTGACTGGAAGAGTGGAGCTTCTGTAGAAAATTACTTGTGTATCGTGTGTCTCCCTCTGTAGGTCAAGTTGGGATCATTTCATGCCTATGAAGTAAAACTCTGTTCTTGCATTTTTCAAAGCGTGGAAGAGGACTTGGGAAAAAAAGGGCAGTTTTGAAGCGTTCTTTCATGGGGATGGCTACGCTTGGAGTGGGGGTGTAAATTCCAGCTTGCGGAGACATTGGCTCCTTTTCACAAGGGGTCAGTTACAGAATCTTTTGAGTGTTCGAGATGCCCAGTGAAGTCAATAGGATTTAGATAAGATCAGACCCTATTGTGGGATTTCTATTCCACTTGTTCCCCAAATTAAATGGCTCTGGTTCAGTATCAGTTTATGAGAAGAACAAGTCAACGGGGAGAAAATCTGCAGATTCCTTCTGGGGAGTGAGGGGGATGCTATGCCCTGCTGCCATGGCAACTCCGCCCTATGAAGAGAAGAACAGCGAGTTCGGACCTCCAGAGATTGGCTAGAGTGGCCTCCTGGGATCAGCTGCTGGAGGACTAAGTGAAGCTAGAAGGGCTGGGAGCAGGCAAGGGCCAATCAGGGGCCAGCAAGCCAGATAAAAAGGGCTCCTTGCTGCTTTCAAAGGCCAGTTCTAGGTGTGGCTGTGAGAGGGAAGACTCACTCTCCCTGATTTAAGACTAAAATGTGGGCTAGTCATGGGCCTAACATTGACAGTTTGGTTAAATCTGTGAAAGGCAGTTAGGATCTTTAGCACCCAGAGGGCCATTTTGCGTTGAATGCTGTTTCACAGAAAACTAAATAAAAATGAGCTGGACACCCCAGCTCAGGCGAGCCCAAGACATCCCTGTTGTGACTGTAGAGTAGCATCCCATTCCATTTTGTTTTGATTACTGAATCCCCAGCGAAGATGAAAGTCATCAGGCATTAAACGCTAAAACGATCCTTGAGTATAAGATAGACCAAGGAAAGAATTTGCTTAAATATTCAGGGGAGTTCATCTCTGTGCAGACCGGCTCGTGACCTGCTCGCATGCTAATTAGTCCTTAGTTTTAGGACTTCAGTGAGGCACACCACTGGTTCTGGCACCTGACACGGGGTAAATTTCACACGGCGCACTTTGACATGAATAGTCAAGACTCTTGCATGAACAGAGAAGAACAAATTAAACATAACAGATACAGGAGACTGAAGTCCAACTTGCCTCATTCCGCTTTAAAGCAAATATTGTGCAACACTGAGAGCTAGGAGAGGGTGCTGGCCTGACAATCCTGCAGGAAGAAATCTGTTTGTCCATGGATAAGGAATTTCTCAAGCAGCAGCAATATAAGTTGCCCACTGAGCCAGGCCAATGTTTCACATTACTGGCCTGGAGGGAGTTTCATTTCCAAGATCTCATTCAGTCTCTAACCTCACTGCTAAATTTGCTGAGGGTTTCACTTGTGATTTCTCTGCAATATGACACCAAGCCACAGTGAAAAGGCTGACACGAACAGTGAGAAATTATGGAACAATTTTCCAAGGGGGTTGTGACTGCCCTCCATGCCTTAGAAGACTTGGCTTGTGACTATGAATATGCATAACTCAAAGATACTTTAGATCTCACGTAACCTATCACATTTTAATGTTGCAATCTGCTGAACATATATGTCCTATTTTTGTGCGTGTATCATTCTTGTATGTGAAGTTAGAAATATGAAATGTGGCTCTGTTTATAATTATAAATGTATTGATGTCAGAAACCTAATGGCTTGGTGCTCAAATCAACAACCTGTGAATAGTCTTGTTTGTCCTGTAAGCCCAAATGGTGATTGGTCCTAGAAAGACATGTGACCATGCCACCCAGTACTGGAATCCATTTTGAACCTGGTATTTTTCTATGGGAATAGGGGATGCCAAACAATGGATTCTTGCCATGGGAAGCCATCAGTTTTTGTCTTCAGCTGGCTTTTGAAACTGCTTGGCCCACTCTAAGAGGATACAACCGAACTTCAAAGGAGCTGTAGACCCCATTCAAAGAAAAAGATCAACTCTGAGTTGAAGCTTTGCCTGAAATGACAATGGTTTAGTTTAAAAATTTAACAAGTTTCTTAGTGGATTAAAGCTAGATATGTGTTTTTATTCATTTTAATGTAGTAACTTACTTTGAGCTGACTGATTTCACTTCCAACCACTGAAATCCTACCTTTTATGCTTAATACACACACTTTTGTTTATTATCAAGCCCAGTGTAAATAATTGTTACAGGGGAGGGGGAAGGGAGAAACAACCTTTGTGGGTCTCTTTCATTGATGAAGGAGGCTGACCTTATAAGCTTTCTCTGTGTAGAACTTTTACAGGGAGTAAGAAGGTTTTATTTGGGGTTTTTGGTCCCTTTTGAGGATTGTCTTCCTGGGTTCTGAGCCTTTAGAACTGAGCAGTGTCTGAGTTGTTCTGCAGAGGGATGGTAACCCCAACTCTAAGCTTTGTATGGGGAGACCAGAAGATCTGGCCTAGCAGGATAGAGTTGGGGGGAGCCGCAGAGAGCAGGACTGGCATCAGTGGCATGACCAGCACACCGGGGAACTACCCTAAGGGGACTTCTGTGATTTCACCCTGTCATGGAATGTTGTGGATTCTCCATCACTGGCAATTTTTAAACCAAGATTGGATGTTTTTTCAAAAAGCTCTTCTCTAGGAATAATTGTGGGAGATTTCCTCTGGCCTGTGCTATACAATAGGCCAGACTAGATCATCATCAGTGGCATGACCAGCACACCGGGGAACTACCCTAAGGGGACTTCTGTGATTTCACCCTGTCATGGAATGTTGTGGATTCTCCATCACTGGCAATTTTTAAACCAAGATTGGATGTTTTTTCAAAAAGCTCTTCTCTAGGAATAATTGTGGGAGATTTCCTCTGGCCTGTGCTATACAATAGGCCAGACTAGATCATCACAATGGTCCCTTCCGGCCTTAGAATCCACTAATTGAACTTTGACCACGGATTCATTTCATAGAGGCATGTGACCAGCAGCCACAAATAATTCTTGGTCACTAAGGCTACGTCTACACTGTGGTGCTATTTCGGGATACTTCCAGTATCCTGAAATAGCTGTTCCGTGCCTTTTGAACAAGCCTGTTATTTTGAAATATAACAGACTCTGTATTCCGACATCCCTGTAAACCTCATTCCACGAGGATTAAGGGACGTTTTGGAATAGCGGTTTATTTTGACACAGCACCAAATTACAAAATAAGCTATTTTAAAACACACTCAAAATGCATAACTCAAATTGCATAGCTTATTCCGAGCTAAGGGTTCTGTATAGATTCACCCTATCATATGTTATTTTTCTTACTCATTTTGCAGTTCTATTACTCAGCATTGGTCCCTAGATCAAGCAAATACCTCTTTCTAAAGATTTTTAAATCTCCATTCTTAACAATATTATAGCAGTCAAAAATTGACAGAACATGTTTGCATCAGAAAATACTTCGTCAAGTTCAGAATGTTCTACGGGAACATGTCTATTTCGACCCAATTTGGTATTTGAAAGAAAAATTAAGATGAAATCTTCCAGTATCATTACAGTAATTTCTTTTGCACAACTTTGGAACAAAAATTTCAACTGTTCATTTGAAAATAGTCCTTTTTCATTGTGTATTATACGAGAATAAAAATAAAATTAAAATCAAAATGCATTTTGGGGGAAATTTTGTTTCACTTCAGTTTTCTGAAATGTGCACTGATCCAAAAAATATAGATAGATACACAAGCGGCGAGGAGTCCTGTGGCACCTTATAGACTAACTGAAGTGTGGGAGCATAAGCTTTCGTGGGCAAAGACCCACTTCGTCAGATACACAGTGAATCAAGGCAAATATCCTGTTACATATTTACATCACTGGCCTGGAAGAGAGTTTAGTTATAGTTAGCTGATTTGTGCATAGTCCTAATTGCTTGCTTTCCTTTTGCCTCCTGAACTCTGTCCTTCTTACAGCTTTGTAGCTAGAACACCGTTGTTTCTTCACTCCAACTTTACCAGCTGTCTTTAGATTGGTTTACACCTTCTGGGTATGTCTACACTAGCACCCTAGTTTGAACTAGGGAGGCTAATGTAGGCATTCGAAGTTGCAAATGAAGCCCGGGATTTAAAGATCCCGGCTTCATTTGCATCTTGCCGGGTGCCACCATTTTTAAATCCCCCTTAGTCCGAACTCCGTGCCCGCGGCTACACGCGGCACGGAGTAGGTAGTTCGAATTAGGATCTCTAATTCGAACTACCAGTACACCTCATTCCATGAGGAGTAACAGTAGTTCAAATTAGAGATCCTAATTCGAACTACCTACTCCGTGCCGCGTGTAGTCATGGGCACGGAGGTTGGACTAAGGGGGATTTAAAAATGGCGGCACCCGGGAAGATGCAAATGAAGCCCAGGATATTTAAATCCTGGGCTTCATTTGCAACTTCGAATGCCTACATTCGCCTCCCTAGTTCAAACTAGGGGGCTAGTGCAGACATACCCTCTTTTCCTGAGCTGCAGCTTTGTGTATAAACACTGGCTCTTATAGTGCCATGTCACTTATTTAGGGCCATATCTTGCTTTCTCTCCATTCCATGGGTGTAACTTTCCCAGCTGTCAGGGGGAGTTGAACTTGCGTAGCTGAGACCAGGATGTCACCATTACAACTTAATGGAAAAGAGGAAACCAGCTGTACAGACCTTCTGGTAAGGTACGTCCATCGTGGAATGTGATGGGTTTGCTGAGCTGTCGGGACACTCCAGGTACGGGAGGGTACAGGCGAAGACTCTCCTTGATGCACATGGTGCTATATGTCATCTTACTGAGGTCATCCCTGAAATGACCAGAGGCAAAGGTGCAAGTGAGTGATGCAGATATTTCCAGTACAGCTATTCCAATGGAAAACACATGTGGATCATAGAATCCCAGGGCAGGAAGAGACCTCAGGAAGTCATCACGTCCAACTCCCTGGTAAAAGCAGGTTCAATCACAATTCATAGAATCCCAGGGTTGGAAGAGACCTCAGGAGTCATGGAGTCCAACCCCTTGCCCAAAGCAGGACCAACCCAAATAAATCAGCCCAGCCAGGGCTTTGTCAAGCCGGGACTTAGAAACCTCTAGGGATGGAGATTCCACCCCCACCCTAGGGAAATAGTGCTTCACCCCCCTCCTAGGGAAATAGTTTTTCCTAATATCTAACCTAGACCTTCCCCTATTGTAACTTGAGATCATTGCACCTCGTTCTGCCATCGGTCACCACTGAGAACAGCCTCTCTCCATCCTCTTTGGAACCTCCCTCCAGGAAGTTGGGATTGGTCCTGTTTTGGGCAGGAGGTTGGACTCGATGACTCTTGATGTCTCCTCCAACCCCTGGGATTCTATGATTCTAATTAGAAGCTGTTATCAAATCCCCTCTCACTCTTCTCTTCTGTAAAGTAACTAAGCCCAAATCCCTCAGCCTCTCCTCACAAGTCATGTGCTCCAGTCCCCTAATAATTTTTGTTGCCTTCTGCTGGACTTTCTCCAAAGGATACGCACTGTTTGCATCTAGCACACCTCTGGTTGGGGTTTGGAATTTTGACTTAATATTCCAAAATATTAAGGGTACCACTATCTGATGTCTGAGCTGCGGCGCCATAGGCAGCTGGCAGTGCATTATGTTATGGGCTACTCATAGAGATACATCAGGCCCGGTTTTCAGAAGGGGGTAGCTTCCACGACAGTAAATGAAGTCATAACAGCTACGTATTCAGTACCTCTGAAAATGAAGCCTTGAGCACCTTGACTGTCTAACAAATATTTCTAAATATATCATTATCTACTAACAAAAGGACCCGAACAATATCGATGGGGAGGAACGATCAAATAAATAAGAAAATGTGAGATTCACCACTGGATAGTAGTCCGGTCTCCCACAATCTCCTGGATCTCTTCTCTACATCTCTGCTGGTGCTCTGGGTACAGGGCCATGCAGTACAAGAGCCAGGAGATCCCACTGGCCGTGGTATCGTGCCCCTCAAACATGAACGTGTCCACCTCGGCGCGTAGGTCTTCGTCGGACAGTCCAGCGCCGTTTTCATCCTAGCAACACATACACACTGTCGGTGGCACGATATATATTCAGCAACAGGAATTGCATTCACTTATCGTGCTGGTTAAGGCGAGGCCAACCAATTCAGGCAGGAATCCAAAATCCATGCTGCAGTGCCCCCGGAAAACTCCTGCTGCCACTGCTTCACCCTGGCCCAGAGATGGAACAAGGCTCATCTCGTCCATTGTGGAGGTGCAGTGGAGAATTGCTCATCTCACCTGTCTTTGGTTTCCGCCAGAAAAAAATGCTCTCTCCACTTCCCTTCAAAGACTATTCGGGAGGCCCGAAGGGCTAAGTCATCCTGGTCTTACCCAACTGACAGCCATGAATATGCTTTGGGCCAACTGTGGCTACATTTCCTTTCCTGAATATTGCCCCTTTCGTCCAGGTAATGCCATCGGTGCGGCAAAAGGAGTTAAGTCCCCTTTAAAAATGAATCTGCCTGCTCTACCCCTCTGTGTGGACACACGCCACTCCAAGAGGTTCCAGCAAGCAACCACGAGGAGGAGAGAAGAGAATTCCTTCCCTTTCCCACGCTATGAAATGACAGCGGGAAAGAAGACTGGAGAGCAAGACCTGCGTAAAGCAGAGAGAGGAGGAAAATGGAAGCAAAGGGGGCTCCCTAGTGGATAGAGTCACTTACTGCAAATGGAGGTTAGAGACGTGTGAGATTTACACCTGGTTGCTGGTGGGTGATTAAGTATGGGGGCTAGCTTCTCTTTCCCCTTTCTGGAAAGGGGCCCCGCCAGTAAAGTCTGGAGACCCACCCAACTTTCAGTCAGATGAGAAGAGGGAATATTGTTGTCCCCAGAGGAAACTCGCTCTAGGCAGCGGGCCAGCCATGAAGCTTATGCATTACTACAGCCCTCATTTGGGGGCCTAATTGTTGCAAAGGTCCTATGCTGGCACTCAGCGTAGGGGTCCATAAGAACGGCCATGCTGGGTCAGACAAAAGGTCCATCTAGCCCAGTATCCTGTCTGCTGACAGTGGCCAATCCCAGATGCCCTGAGGGAGGGAACACAACAGGTAATCCTCACGTGATCCCTCTCTTGTCATCCATATCCAGACAAACAGAGGAGAGGGACACCATTCCTACTCATCCTGGCTAATAGCCATTGATGGACCTAACCTCCATGAATGTATCTAGCTCTTTTTTGAACCCTGTTCAAGTCCTAGTCTTCACAACATCCTCTGGCAAGGAGTTCCACAGGTTGACTGTGTGCTATGTGAAGAAAAACGTTCTTTGGTTTGTTTTGAACCTGCTGCCTCTCATCCAAGACACTGTTGGTGAAGCCCAGTGGAACATACTCATGCGTGGTGTCATTTAGTGCACACCCATTCCTCCATAACTCACTTTGGCATGGAGAAGAATATCCAGAAAGTCCAAGTGCCTCTTCTTCTGGACCTTCTCACGTTCTCGCTCGTCCTTGAGAGACTCCTTCCGCTCCTGGATCACCTTGTCTGAGATAGAAAACTATTCAAGCACAACTTTCCGCGACAGCCGGCAGAGCACTGTAGCCCCGGAGACTGCCTGAGTGCCCTCCACACACAAGGGGGGGCAGCCGGTCAGCTGCACCGAACCCTCTTCTGACCTGTGCAGTTGGGAACATGGTAGCACTCACTCTGCTTAGGGATTTCCTCCTAGCCTTACCCCAGCACCTCCATCAATCCAAATTACTACCCGTTGGGAGCATGGTGGCATAATTAGGATTCAGAGAAGAGACATTGATCCGTTCTAATCCAGACCGGTCATGAGCCAGGACCCTACGCTCTACCCACTGATGGCTAGTCCTTGTATTCCTGGGTCCTAGCTGTCCTGTGCTCGTGAGAAACAATGCACATCTGGCAAGTACCAGCTGGCTAATAGGAAGTTTAGACTCGAAATTAGGCGAAGGTTTCTAACCATCAGAGGAGTGAAGTTCTGGAACAACCTTCCAAGGGAAGTAGTGGGGGCAAAAGACCTATCTGGCTTCAAGATAAAGCTAGATGGGTTTATGAAGGGGATGGTTTGTGAGGTAACATGATCTTGGCAATTAATTGACCTTTCACGATCAGTGGTAAATAGGCCACTGGTGGGAAGATAGGAGTTGCTATAGAGACCTTTTTTCTGGGTGTCTGGTTGGTGAGTCTTGCCCACATGCTCAGGATTTAGCTGATCGCCATATTTGGGGTCGGGAAGGAATTTTCCTCCAGGGTAGATTGGCAGAGGCTCTGGAGGTTTTTCGCTTTCCTCTATAGCATGGGGCACAGGTCACTTGCAGGAGGATTCTCTGCATCTTGGGGTCTTTGAACCATCGTTTCAAGGACTTCAATATCTGAGACACAGGTGAGAGGATTAGTCTAGCAGTGGGTGGGTGAGATGCTGTGGCCTGCATTGTGCAGGGGGTCAGACTAGATGATCATAATGGTCCCTTCTGACCTTAAAGTCTATGGCTACGTCTACACCGGCATGATTTTCCGAAAATGCTTTTAACGAAAAAGTTTTCCATTAAAAGCATTTTCGGAAAAGCACGTCTAGATTGGCAGGACGCTTTTCCGCAAAAGCACTTTTTGCGGAAAAGCATCCGTGGCCAATCTAGACGCGCTTTTCCGCAAAAAAGCCCCGATCGCCATTTTCGCGATAGGGGCTTTTTTGCAGAAAATAAATCTCTGCTGTCTCCACTGGCCCTTTTGCACAACAGTTTTTCGGAAAAAGACTTTTGCCCGAATGGGAGCAGCATCCGCAAAAGCACTGACAATCTTACATGAGATCGTCAGTGCTTTTGCGGAAATTCAAGCAGCCAGTGTAGACAGCTGGCAAGTTTTTCCGCAAAAGCAGATGATTTTGCAGAAAAACTTGCCAGTCTAGACACAGCCTATGAGTCTATAAGTAACTAAAGACTCAGCACTGAATCTAGGGAGCCAATGGGGCCAGGTAGTCAAAACTAATCTCTGAATCCTAGCAGGGATCCTTTTCAAATGAGGTTGGAGCACACTGGTCAGCTGCCGTAATGGCTGCTGCTTGTTCCGTGGATCGCGAGGGCTCCCCGCTGAACACTCCCCATGCACAAAAGAGTCAGACAAAGAAAGGCCAGGGCATAGGGAAGTACCTGTATGGCGGTGCGCAAGCTGGCAGGCCCTCCTGAATTGGAGACCATGGGGGCTGAGCCGATAAACGAGATCATTGTGGTACGGGAAGATGCGCAGCCGCTGATGCACCAAGTAGCTGAGATCAAAGACCGCTCGGATGTAGGAATTCTCCCTGGGGATGGCGGGAAAGAGAGGGATCAACACAAGAGATTTGCTTTCAGGAAATGGAATCCCGTCTGCGATGGGGCACGTGGCCCATGCCCACATCCACCCACGGACACCGTCACGACCTGCTCACAGGGTACAAAGCCGCATCGTCGTCTCAGAGTGAGTAGTTATCGCTAGAGCCTTGCACAGATACAAAATGTGTATCCACAGCCCCATCTGTATCCGCAAGAATGAGCTGTGGACAACCGCAGCTGCTGATACCCACAGATCTAAAATAAATATCTGCAAATGTGCTGAGTTCTAGACAGGGTTCCCTGTGAGGTGTGTGCCTGCATGAGCGTGCACCAAGAATTTCATTCCTGCCCACCGCCTCAGCAGAGCCTCACAGCTGGAGCCCAGCTTCTCCTGCGGATGGGGCTGCATGGCGAGTGATGATCCATCCCAGGAGCAGCTGGGCAGCCACCATGCAACCTGCTTATACAAGAGCAGAGCTCTGCTGGACTAGGCCTGGTCTGCATACACAGTAAGAAACAAGGCCTTCAAAGGGCAGGAGAAAGGGAGGATTATTATCCCCCTTTTACAGGTGGGAAACTGAGGCACTAAGTGGCTTGATCTAGGTGACACAAAGAATCTGCAGCTGAGCCGGAAACCGAAGCCTCGTGCCCCAGGTCCACTGCCAGAATTGCAAGAGCATCCTTGAAAAGGCACCAAGTCCCTCAGCATCACATCCACCCCTCGGCGCCCCAGAGGCCTATGGGTAGAGGCAGAATCTTCCCTGTGTTCTCTCCTGAGACAAAAACATATGTGCCCAGGTTGTGTTGTGCTATGGGAAAGATAGGCACCATCTCTGGCCCGGTGACAGACCGCAGGAGGCGGGGCACCTGTGCATGCCACCCATTTAGTTGCACGGACCATGGAGACTTTCCCCCAGTCCTGGGCAAGCTGCACCGCTTATTCCTGGCCAATGAACAGACGCCTTCCATCAGGCCCCCAGAGCATCCCATACTGACCTGTCGGTCTGGCAGTTGCTATGACAACTGAAGGCACATTTCATGATGCTGTCGAGAGTCATCAAGCTGACGTGTTCAAAGAGCTCCACCGACTTATCCTGGGTGACCAGCTCCTCCCACTTGTCCTAGCACGGGAAGGAGAGAGAGGTGAGACAACCCAGAGTCCACATTGACCTCCCACCTTCAAAACACACAGGCGATGTCTTTAACCAGTTGTACCGTCTAGATCAGTGTTTCTCGACCAGGGGTACGAGAAGCTTTAGGGGTACTTGAGAGAAGTCTGGGGGGTACGTCAACAACTAAAATGTGGAGAAACCTGAGTTTTTGTTTTACGTTTTACAGTGTTTTATTATTTTTGTTCTTTTTACACCCAAAAATTTCATCGTCCGCCCAGCTATGATTAAGTTGTTTAAACAAACGTGTTGCAATGGTAGAAAAAAAATTTTGTCTGAAAACTGTAGGTACTGGGAGTACTTAATTTTTTTTAAGAGGTACTTTATAAAAAAAGGCTGAGAAACACTGGTCTAGGCAACAAAATAAATGGGAAAAGGAGACACTCCCTTGCTCTGTATCTACTAGAGATGCCACTTTGACACAAGAGCAAGCTAGAAATCTGACTTGGCATTTACCACATAGACCCACATTATTTTTCTCTCTCTTGCCTTTGCTTTGATTGTCAAATCGCTAGACATCTGATAGTACGAAAAATTAGTCAGAAAAATTTCTATGTAAAAATGGTCTCTCTTTAGCCAGACCCTGGAGCTGACGGTCTTGGGCTGGCCCTCTGCACAGCCATGAGCATCTCTTCAGTCCCTAATGCCTTACACTTCCTTACTACGCAGGTTTGCTACCAGACATGTACCTGTCCTATGTCCGTTCAGACAGAGCTTCACGAATGCTGGCCCACAGACCAGCCTGATGAGGCCAATATTATTCCCAAAAGCCTTCTCAGAAGAAATCTCAGGCTTGTGTAGCACCCACAGGCAGAACCAAACCTGGGACATGAGCCTCTGCAGCCTGAGCTAAAAGCCAGCTGGCATTCAGAGACAGCTGTAGAGCAAACTCATTCTCTCTCTGTCAGTGGTCTCAGTGCTTCTGCATGGGATGGTGACGCACACCCAGTCGGTGTGTGGGTTACACTCGCACCTCAATGAAGTCAGAAATAATCACCCCAAGGGGTAGTCTCTGAGTCCAGCGGAAGCTGAAATGACAGAGCTGATTGGTCCCACAACAGGCTATTCATATTTTGTTTCCTGTGACACTGAAAAGGATCTTGTGTGTTATTTTCAGATTGGCTTGTAGAATAATTTGTTCACTGATCGAGTACATCAGGCATGACTCCAGTGCAGACTGTTTGAAGGCCACTGAAGGCTGAAGAGGTCAGATGCTTAGGCTTTGGTATTTGAGGGTGGCTTATACCCTCAAATATAGAGCTAGATTGTACCTTCCAACCTAACTGTGGAGCTGTCTACACAGTGTCAAATTTCGAAAGAAGCCACTATTCCAAAATGTCCCCTAGGCCTCGAGGAATGAGGTTTATAGGGACACTGGAATAGCGAGCCCGTTATATTTTGAAGTAACAGGCTTGTTGTTAAGACGTGGGACACCTCCAGTATCCCGAAATAGCACTGCAGTGTAGATGTAGCCTTAGGCTGCAAGGGTGTGTCTAGACTACAGGGTTTTTTCAAAAAAAGTAGCCTTTTTCAAAAAAAAACTTCCCCTGCGTCTAGACTGCTGCCGCATTCTTTCAAAAGTAAACCGAAAGAACGCGGCAGATTTTTTGACCGCAGAAAACCTCGCTTTACAAGGAATAACGCCTTTTTTCGAAAGTGCTCTTTTGAAAAAAGGCTCTATGTAATACAAGCTGTGCTTTTTCGAAAGAGAGCATCCAGACTGCCTGGGTGCTCTCTTTTGAAAAAGCCGCTTGCTTTTTTGAAAGTACTGGTTGTAGTCTAGATGCTCTTTTTCGAAAGAGGCTTTTTCGAAAGTAGCTTTCATAAAAAGTCTCTTTCGAAAGAGGCTTGCAGTCTAAACGTAGTCCTAGTGGATGCATTCATTTGTAGGATGCAACTTGCTTCCTGGTTAAGAATTGTATGTAAATCAGTGTTGGGGGGGGAGGGATTACCATACCAATTTCAGTTTGGAACAATTAGATGTGTAAATGTCAGTTTCACATGCATCCTCAAACAGATGAAAAAAATATTTCCATAAATAAATCAATAGGCAATGTAAGAAAAACACTGCCTGAACACTTAAGAGTTTGATTTAAGGCTAGTTGCTTTGGCAATGTGATGTTGGTAAATTGGGCTTAAGTGGTTAAAGCTTTACCTTTTGGAATCTTAATGTCTGTCATTAAAAAATTGTCGGACTCCCCCCACTCCAGCTCCTGCATAATTTCCTGCAACTGTGAAAATGTAAATTGATGAGATTTATTCCTAACCCATAATTTGTACAAGTATCTTAAATCACAAATTTAAAAAAACTGCTTTAAAAGAATCAATATTGGAGGTCCAACTTATAGAAATGAATAAATAAGCTCTGCCAAACCTATTGGAGAAAAATTAAGGATTAATGCCCACAAAACAGATATCAGACAAGATCACAAAGAAAAAACAGTTTCTTGCCATTTTAACCAGAAAGGACACTCTCTCGATGACTTAACCACCTGCATTCTGCTACAAAGACCTTTTACATCTGCACTTGAAAGGGAATCCTCTGAACTGTCATTCATGTTAAAATTCGACACTCTCCAAAGAGGATTGAACAAACACTTGAACTATCTTACACATTATCAAGATAGCTTTCCCAATTATCACCTCTAATACCATTAACTCACAAACATCCCACTCTCCCCACCTCTAATATCGTCAATTCACAGACACTTACCTTCCTTCCTCCCCCCGCCCCCTGCATCCCGCTCCTGTTCTGAAATGTGATTTGTCCTTTTCATATGTGTTCATTTTTTTTTAATTGTATCCTTTGGTATATATGGTTGTGACTATTTTCTTCCACTATTTGATCTGAGGAAGTGGGTCTGGCCCACGAAAGCTCATCATCTAATAAACCATCTTGTTAGTCTTTAAAGTGCTACATTGTCCTGCATTTTGCTATTGGAGAAAGAGCGCCATCTAGTGGCAGACATAAGAATATCTGCCTCTATTGTATTTGTAAATTATGGGTTTTGTAAAATTGCTCTGTATTATAAATGCCTGTCCAGCTCTTAACCCCTGTAAGCAAGGACGGACTGGCCCGGCGGGATACCGGGAATTTCCCAGTGGGCCATCATCCGGTGGGCCGTAGTGTCTGCACACCGTTGCGCCTCGCTCCGAGCGGCTCCGCGTGCCAGACATGACGCAGAGGGTGGGGCTTGAGGGACACGCAGGGGAGACGTCATGGGCAGGGCCGTTCTCAGCCCATTTCCCGGGCCTATTTTGATTGCCAGTGCACTCCTGCCTGTAAACTTGCTCTGGATTATTATGGCTGCTGACTGGCATGTTCAGTCCAGCCTCATTAAGGTTTCTTCTACTCCAATGCTGGTCAGTTTCATGTTAAAGTAACCTACTCATCAATGTGCTCTCCTTCCAGACCCATTCCAAAGAGGAAACAGGTCAGTTACAGCTCCTAGCTACACCAGGAGTCTCTTTAGCTCAATACAAGATGTACAGACTTGTGTTTTCAGCGGTGGAAGTCACTCATTCCTCCCTGTGATGTTGGCTGACACACAGAGAAAATGTGGCTGTTTATTTTTCTGTAACAATAGCTACCGTGTGGTTCAAACTCAGGCCATGTCTATACTAGGAAACTATTCTGAACTTACTAAATTCGACTTAATAACTCCTGATTTAACAAATCAAAATAGCGTGTCCACACTACGGGGAAGCCTCAAAATGAGTCTGAGGTTAATGTAGACGTGCTACCTCGAGTTAGGCTACGTCTAGACTACTGGCTTCTTTCAGAAGAAGCTTTTTTCAGAAGAGATCTTCCGGAAAAACTTCTTCCGAAAGAGAGTGTCCACACTGCAAAAGTGCATCGAAAAAGCGATCTGCTTTTTTGAAAGAGAGCATCCATTCTGGATTTGAGCTATGATTGCTGTGGACAGAATGGCTACCAGGGCACCTGTGCTTTTTCCTCTTCTTCCAAAAGACCTCCCTGTTCCCCGTCCATACATGCCTTTTTGCAAAAGAGCTCTTTTGCAAAAAGGCTTCTTCCTCGTAGAATAAGAATTACCAATGCCGGAAAAATGCCTCAGTTCTTTCGATTTTCTTGCAGAAGAATGCAATTGCAATGTGGACGTTCCTCAAGTTTTGTCGGAAAAACAGCCGTTTTTCTGACAAAACGGTGTAGTGCAGACATCCCCTTAGAGCCCCAGGAAGCACTGAGGAGTAATTAATTAAAATATTTCAAATATTTCAAAATAGCGCTAACAGAGCATCCACGCTACCGTTATTTCGAAAAAACTATTTTGGAACTAGCGTTACTCCTGATGAAAAGCAGGAGTACAGATTTTAAATTAAGCGGCCTGTTATTCAAAATAACAGGCTGGGTCAGGTGGATGCGCAGTTTATAAATTTGACCAAAGGGGGATTATTTCAAAATAAAGTCCTAGCGTCGACCAGGGCTCAATGCGTCAATAATAAACCTTCTCCCAGTGAACCTGCTCAGTTCACTCCGCAGTGAGTCTCATCATTGTGCATCCATGCTGCAGGCCTGTCTTTAAAATTCTCCCACTAGAAGGCAGTGTTCCCCAGGTGGAATCAGAGTGCTTTCAGGGACAATGCATTGCATGAGTCATTGCTTTGACTCCCTGGCAGTGCAGCTGCAGAATTTGATGGATGGTCCCACGCCCAAATCTTTTCACTCTTTTCTTGCATAGAGCCCACTGAGAAATAAAACCATAGCTGCATTGTGTACTATACAAAGCAGAGATTATAATCTAGGCATTGTACATATTGGCATCCCATGCTATTTTCTAATCCTCAGATGGCCAGATCACCAGGTTAAAATGTCCCCAATCCTTGGGTTTAGGAATGCATGAGATCCCTTGTTTAATACTGACTTTCATATAAATGCCTATAGAGAGTGCCACCAAGAACCACTGCAGTGCCTTCTTACTTAAAGTAGTCAGCATTGCTATAGATTAGATGTGGGTTTTGAATCATGGTAAAACAGAATTCCAAATCCCTAATTTCTAGAACTGTTCTAAAATAATTGTGGTATCTATTGAAAAGCAAAGAAATACTGGATCTGAAGTCAATTTCAGCGAGGCCCCGACTGTTAATCTGTTTTCAGATCAGGCAACATACATTAAGGCTACGTCTACACTACAAAGTTTTTGTACAAAAACTCCTGTGGAGCGTCCACACATCAAATGAGTTCTTGTACACTTAAATGGGCAGTTAAATGGCAGAATAGAGGGCTTTTTCCGCCGTAAGTAAACCTCCTTTTCTGAGGCATAACTGCTTTTAGCTCTGCAGCTTTTGCACAAGAAGGCAAGTGTGAACGCTCCAGAGGGAGAAGCGTTGACCAAGAAACCCCGGCCTATGGGAAAAAGCACAGGTGCTATGATGGCCATTCCGGGAATGGCCATCAGAGCTTTCTTGCACAAGAGTGTCCATGCAGTGTGGTTGCTCTCCTGTGCAAAAGCACATGGCTTTTGCGATGTGGTTTGAGGTGTGGACGTGCTCTTGTACAATACATTTTTGTGCAAAAACTCTTGCATAAAAGGCTTCTTGAGCAAGAAGCAAGTGGTGTAGACGTAGCCTAATTAACTCCAGAGTAGAGATCATCCAGGGACCTATTCTTCACCAACCTTTTCATTGAAAAATATGTCCCTCACAGAGGTCAGAACAGTAGGGCATTTTCCATCGAAAATGTCCACTTTTCCCTGAAAACCAAAACTCAAACCACAAAAATATTGGGCTGTAAACTGTCGCGATTTTTTCTTTTCAGTTTTGAGTTTGAAAAATGAAAACTGTCAAGGACAGCAGTGGCATCACCGCAAAATGTTCATTTCATCAAGACATCGTTCTAGTCCTTTACTTTGTTTCTTTGTTTTGTTTTTTAATGACATAAGCTCTGCTACAGAGTCTGTACATCTTCTGACCAATACGTTGCTATACCTCACACCAGAATTTTGATTCTTTCATTCAAAAATCTACACAACCAAAAGAATTTCCATGGAACCATAGACTGTACAGGCTAATAACTGCATAGGTTGAATCTCTCTAATCTGGCCCTCTTTGGCATGGCCACATCTGTGGTCCAGCATGATTTTAGAGAGCTGGGTGTCCACTTATCATGGGTGTGTCCAAGTTTCTTGTGGCACCATAAAGTTTGTTTACAGCCACCAGTCCTGGCTCTCGGTGTTCTGTTCTATTTAGCTCTAATTTACCCCTCAATATCTGTTAAGAGCCCAGGATGCAATGGAAATGTTGATAATGCTGCTAGACAAATATTGACCTCTCATGGTCCAGCAAATTCTCTGGTTCAGCACTGGTCAAGTCCTGACGCTGCTGGACTAGAGAGATTCAACCTGTACAGCAAAGAAACTCTTGATCTATCCCTCTGCCTTTAACCCAGAAAGGATGAGAAACTAACATAATAAATATGGTAATCACTGTGAGCATTCCTACCAGCATCACTTTGGTAGAATCAGAAATCAATGGCACATAAGGTTTCAGCACGTCATAATGAAACCCTGGAGTCAGCAGTTTACGATGCTGGTACCACTTGGGCCCATGTAAGACTAATAATCCTTTCCCTGGAGGAACACAAGAAATGGGGTTCAGATCATTTCAGATTTTAAAGCTCACAAACAGTTATTTTTGATACATATAGTTAAATCCTTAGCCACCAGAACTTTTGTCAGAGATGCAATGGTTTGGTCACATCGGGTATGTCTAGACTTCATCCCTCTGTTGGCAGAGGGATACAGATTAGGCAGGTCAACATTGCAAATGAGGCAGGGATTTAAATATCTCGTGCCTAATTTGCATAAAAATGGCTGCCGCGTTTTGCCAACTCAGCACTTTGTCAGCAAAAAACAGCAGTCTAGAGGGGGATCTGTCGAGAAAGAAAGTCTTTTTCAACACATCCCTTATGCCTCCTGCAAGAACTGTCAAAAAAGGCTTTCTTTCTCAACAGATCCCCCTCTAGGCTGCTGCTGTTTGCTGACAAAATGCTGAGTCAGCAAAACATGGTGGCCATTTTTATGCAAATGAGGCATGGGATATTTAAATCCCTACCTCATTTGCAATGTCAGCCTGCCTAATCTGCATCTCTCTGCCGACAAAGGGATACAGTCTAGACATACCCATCTAGTCCAATTTCTATTTGCTGGGACAATATATTTTCTAGTGCTATAAAAACAAACAACTAATAAGAATGCAGGGAGGGTCTTCATCTTCTTTCATCTTTGGATTTCACCATTTCTTCAGAATCATAATCCAGATGATTTTATAGTGGATAGGTGACCAGGTTTAGAGGAAATAAGAACCTATTTGAACATTCACCCAGAACTTGAAACTAACTCAACTTTCACCAGTAAAGTTAGCTTTTGACTGCGTGTTCATTTTCATGCTTCTCTGCATTTACTGTAGTCCCAAATTTCATGATAGGACGAGAAGCAAAGAATAGCCTAAACCTCAAGGATAAGCCGGTTCTTATGAAATCTGCAGCCAGATTTCGAGAGCCAAGAAGCTCAGATGAGTAACCAAACCTTTGGCTGCTTCTTCAAACTGAATCTTTAGAGCTTCTCCCACATTAGTCCTTGGGGGAGTCAAGATATGTTCATGGAATCTCATTTGTATACATGACATAAGTAATATCGGGGCAGGGCGGAAGGCACAAGACTTAAGTGTTGATGCAAAAATGATAAGAAAATGATTAACTTATTTTTAATTTGTTACAAACTTGTCTGCTGAATATTAACATATAACTATCATAATGTTATAACCAGGGTGCTTGAAAATATGACCACAAACATGTTTAGCTAATTGTGCTACAAAATATTAGAGCTAATCAAAGAAAATTTCAGAAGGTTTTTGCATCAAACTCCCAAGGACAGCCAAGTCTCAAATAGAAAAACCATTTAAACCCTGGTAGGAAGAAAACTGATCATGGGCATGTCTACACTAGGAAATTCTTCCAATATAACTAAATTCAAAATTATAACTCCCAGAATAACTATTTTGAAATAAGCTTATTCTCCAAGGAAAGCAGGAGTACAGATTTTGATATAACCAGCCTGAACGGGTTTTGGTAGTGTGGACATGTAACTCACGGGTTACAGACGTTCTGCTTATTATTTTGAAATAAGGGGGGGGGGGGGTTTAGAACTAACTCCCTAGTATGGACCAGGGCTTTGAAAGGAATGCAAAGTTGTGTTATCTTAGCAATACATTCAAAATAAGTTGGGCCTATTACAAAGCCCCTCCCCTTTTCGTTGCAAAGAGAAACCTCGGTTCAAACCCACACAAGAAATTCTAGAACTATCCTCCTTGAAACTGATTTATTCTGTAAACATGCAAAAGTCTTCATTCTTTAAGCCCAGAGATGGAGAATATTTCATGGTGGCACAGATATTGTTACAGAAGACACTGGTTACTTCCAAGTCCTGTTGCATGCATCTGACGAAGTGGGTCTTTGCCCACAAAAGCTTATGCTCCAACACTTCGGTTAGTCTATAAGGTGCAACAGGACTCCTCACCGCTTTTGCAGATTCGGACTAATACAAATCGTTGATACATTGAAAGTTGAACACCTCCTGGGTTGAAGTGGTTTCTGTCACCCACAAGTTTTACATTTTGGTTCAGTGGCTCTCTGCACCCCGCTGCACTATACAAATTGATCCAGCATCCCTGAAGGGAAGAGGTTTAAAACTTTTGTAATGATTTCATGGGAAGATTAAAATGACCTTGTAATTTAAATGACTGTTTCTCCTGTTAATCCCCAAAAGATTAGACTCTGGGTTCCTGAAAAGGAGACATTGGTAAACAGAGACAGTTGGATTTAGGATTCTTAATAGTTGTAGCTGGCCTGTTCCAAAACAGCTCTTTAAAGTTTCAGAAACTAATTTAAACATCGTCTTTGAATTCATGGGATTCAGTGCAAATTGCTTACTTTGCCCAGATATATATTATCTGTCCTATAATTAACAACTAGGTAGGCTTAAACAAATATTTTGCTGCACATAAGCTCTTATTAGATACTTAAGTGTTTTAACATGAAATTCACAATAATGATGGAAAACAATATATTTTGGTATGTACTTACCCAGGGAAGAGTGATCCCTCAAGGGTATAATCTCTGTTAAAAACTCACCGCGGAAAGGCTTGCAAAAGAGACTAATGGAAGTTACGGTGAGGAATCAGAGCATGCAGAAAAGCTAGTCTCTGGGCAACCTAACCAGCACAGCTGGCCTGTAGTAGGTTGCTTGATTGGCTACTCTGCCTATTACTTGGATGAGTCAGCAGATTGGCTCTTAAATCCAGCAGCTGCTGAAAGTATTAGCCCGTGGCTTCAGTAGTTCCTACTCCTGCTTTGATCCCAGCCCCTTCTCTTGTCTTGCTTCACTGCTGATAACCCAGTTCTGACCCTGTCTGTTGATTCCAGCTTGGCTCTGATGCCTGGCTGCCTACTTCTGTTCAACCACTAAGCCCGACTCCTGCTTCAGCCACTAGGCTTGCCCATTAACTAGTCTGCCCATTTTATTATTGATCCTTGTGATTATTTGGCTTGGACATGACCATGGTGACCAAAGAGCCCTAGCGATTAAATCGGGGAAGCCACAGAGAAAGAACCCATAAGAGCCGGCAGTCCCTTTCTTGTTTCTTTTAACTAAACGTGGGGGCTGTGTCTAGACTGGCAAGTTTTTCCGCAAAAGCAGCTGCTTTTGTGGAAAAACTTCCCAGCTGTCTACACTGTCCGCTTGAATTTCCGCAAGAACACTGACTTCCTACTGTCTGAAATCAGTGCTTTTTCTTGCGGAAATACTATGCTGCTCCTGTTGGGGCAAAAGTCCCTTTTGCGCAAAGCTTTTGCGCAAAAGGGCCAGTGTAGACAGCTCAGATCCATACCAATCTAGACGCTCTTTTCCACAAATGCTTTTAACGGAAAACTTTTCTGTTAAAAGCATTTGCGGAAAATCATTCCAGTCTAGACGTAGCCTGCTAGTAATATTTATAAGAAAATTACTTTGTATCCACCAATTTAAAACTATTCATTTCAGCCCGGTAAACTCAACCTTCCAGTACGCTACCACATTTATCTAAACCAAAAGCGTCTGCTAGTTTCGCCTTTTTTTGAGACACAATGCATGCAAGATGATTTCAGAAAACTTCTGGCCCTAACCACACCGAGGAGTGGGAAATGCCATCTCTCCATGGCTTGTTCTTGACTGGCCTTGGCATCATTTCTGGCCGAGAAGGTCAAGGAGGCCACAAATATACGTACCAATCCATGGAACTAAGTGATGATAGCTAACGTTGTCCTTGGGATCTAGGGAAGCCAATTGAGAAAGAGAAGATAGTACTTTATTAGTAATGATTCATTGCACTGTACGTTTGTCTGTGAGGTACACAGCACACTTCAGTTGTGAATGAAACAAAATTGGTGGCGTCTCTGCATAACGAATGAATGTTACACCTCTATCTTATCTTATCTTATCTTATCTTATCTTATCTTATCTATCTATCTATCTATCTATCTATCTATGTATCTATCCATCCCCACACATCTTATCTATCTATCTAATGTTAGAGGTGTCTATCTTCTTGTGAGTCTGTTCAAGAATGCCTAAACGGTAAGACCTAGAACCACCAAATTTGGTAGGCAGCTTCCTCTTATCCTAACTTAAACCAAGGCCAGGGTTTGGTTGTGGCAGGAAAATGGGATGCGCCTGGAATTCAATTGTTTTCCATGACATGGAAAGGGAGGGGACAGATGGAAGGGATGCAATGCTGCACAGTCACCACTGGGGACAGCGAGAGCAGGGAACAGCTATACAGCAACATGCCCACTGGTAGCAGCCACACCAGCAGGGGTTGGGGCTCATCATCTTGCCTGTCACTGGCCCAGGTAAGTAGCCCCCCCTAGTCCAAATCTCACCCCCGAATCCCAGGCTGCCCCCTCAGGCCCCGGCTCAGCCTTATCCCCCTGCCCTGAGCCGGGCTTGGGGAACACCAGCAGGAGGCCTGCATTGCCCCCCACCCTGGGCCGGACCTGGGCAATGCCAAGTAAGTCATCTAGTTCAGCATCATTGTGAGGTTGCTGAGCAAAGGAGAGAGGCGAGACCGGCCTTAACCGCGGAGGCTGCAGGGTTAGAGATGGACGCTCACAGGTATTTCCCCTCCACAAATGCACATGGACGTGTTCTGTGTGTTGTTCTGTAGCGACCTGTGACGGGGAGAGCCACCCCGCACTGACTCACAGGGCTTAGCCACGTTACCCTGGCACAAGAAGCCCTGCCCACACAACCCTGCTGGGCATGCTCAGACTGCAGCCCAGTATAAAAGCCCTGGGAAAGGCTGTCTGGGCTGACTGCCGGAGGAGAAGGACCTCAGAGGAGAGCTCCCAACCAGCGGGAAGACAGTGGAGGCTCTACCTCCTCTTGGGACATACCCAGCGCTGAACACCAAGGAGAAGCAGCCCCTGCGGAGCTAGGGGACCCCATGAGCACGTGGGAAGCCTGGCCCTAGGAGGGTGCAAGAGCAGCCTCTCCCGCCCAGAGATGCTCGGCACATTTCGGGTGGATTCCCCTCCAAGGGAGTGGTGGGCTGTCCTGCCACTCAGAGCCCTGGGCCGGGACCTAGTGGAGTAGGGTGGGCCTGGGTCCCCCTACTGGGGAGCAGCCCCACCGGTGATTTGCAATAGCTGGCCATTCAACCCTGCTTTATAGAGCCAGCCATTGACTTTTTATAGAGACTCTGACCAGTAGGCTGCCGGCCCCGTCCTTAGAGAGCCCATGATGGACTTTTCATAGCAAGTCCACCCTGGCCAGCAAGTCGCTCATCCCTGCTTCGGAGGGCTAGCTATTGAGTTGCTGGTTGGTCACCAGGCTCTGCCTTAAAAGGCCCACGCCTGACCTTCCATAGACAGCCAGGCCCTGGATACTGGCTTTCGTAGAGACGTCAGCCAGTGAGCCGCTCAGCTCTGCTTTAAAGGGCCAGCAGTTGGCGCCCACAGAGACTCAAGCCAGTGGGCCCACGGTTGACTTGAATAGTGATTCTGGGCCTCAGGCCCTCCCCCCAGCCCTACTTTAAAGGGCCAGTGACCTATTTGCATTATGGTCTCTGGCCGTGTGGCCGTCTAGCTCGTGGGTAGGGACAGACTACCACTTGTGGGGGAGCACATGCGGTGGGCTGTAGACCCAGGCAGCCCTAGGACACGGGTCCTGTCCCCCCGGAAAGGGGGAACAAAGCGCTGCCCCGTGACACTACCATACATCAGAGCAGCATGACCCAAACCTGAAATCACTGGACACAGCTGGATACAGAACACCGGATGGGGCGGACCTGAGCTCGGAGAGGGTACCGAGAATGGTTGTTCTAGAGCAGTGTTTCTTAAACAGTGTTCCGTGGCACATTGGTGTGCCGCAAAGCAGTCGGACGTGTGCCGCGGAGGACAACAAAATTCAAAATGGCTGCCCTTAAAGGGGCAGGTGACTTTTTTTTCTCAATAACTTTCTTCCGACCCTTTTCCCCCTGACCTTTTTTTTTTTTTTCTCAACAAAAAATCCTTGGTGTTCCTCATAAAAAAAAATATTGTTTGGTGTTCCTCGGTCATAAAAAGTTTAAGAAACACCGTTCTAGAGGCTGGCCTGGCATGACTTGCTCATGCCCACAGGTGCACTGATGGCAAGATTTGGGGTCAGTAAGGAATTTCCTTGGCCAGAGATTCCATTTTCCCCTGTAACATGGGGCACAGTTTGCTTTCTAGACCTATCCCTAATCTATTCCCAGCCATTGCAGGGGATTTCAGCATGGAATTTCCTCTTCTCTGCCCGCGGAACACAGCTGAGTCACTAGAGGACTGAAATGCTGTAGTCTAACTAAAGGCTTTGGTCTCTGTAGGGGTAGTTGGTGATATTTAATGACAGGAGATTACACGGGTGGATCTATTAGTCCCTCCTGGCTTTGAACTCTAAAACTCTGAGGCTCCTGACGGACTCTATGTGCCTTTGATCAGGCCCCAGCATGAAATTTTTATGTAGCACTTTAGATAGTTTGACTTGCATCTAAGGAAGCAGTGGTATGAGACTGTAGAAAGTAACTGCTCTCCGGCCTGACAGCAGGCAAACTGTTCCGTGGTACTCTGGCTGTCCTTCAGAGCTGCATGTGGTATACAGCTATCAGGGGCTGGGATAGCTCAGTGGTTTGAGCATTGGCCTGCTAAACCCAGGGTTGTGAGTTCAATCCTTGCGGATGCCATTTCAGGATTTGGGGCAAAAATTCTTCAGGGATGGTAGTTGGTCCTGCTGAGAAAGCAGGAGACTAGACTGGATCAGTGTTCAAGGTACCTTCCAGTTCTAGGAGATAGGCAATCTCTATTATTATCCATATAGGCAAACTAGGTGGTTGCCTAGGGCGCCAGGTTAAATGAGGTGCCGAATGGTGGCACAATATCATTGAGGGGTTTGGAGGTGGGGGCGCCAGTTGCTGGCAGCAGGTCTAGGGCTGCCCTTGATGGCTGTGCATGGAGCCGTGGTCGGACAGTTGCCCACATGAGGAAGAAAGGACTCAGGATTTCTGTGGGACGTCGGCTTTGTGGCATTCTGCTTTGCTGTGAATCGCTTGCTCCCTGGGAATTATGCTTGGCATTTGCAGTCACGTTACAGGTTGGACCGCTCTGGTCCGGCCCCCTCGGGATCTGACTGATCCCAGATGAGGGATTTTGCTGGACCAAGGGGGGTCATTTCTGGCCCCACCACTGCTGACCCCTGCCCTGCTGCCCCACCAGGCTTCCTGGCTCCTACGTGCAGCCCAGCTGGGCCATGCACTGGCCTTTCTGCCCTCCTCCCCCAAGCCTAGACAAGCCGTGTGCCTGCTCCTGTCCCTTCCCACCCCCCAAATGAGCCACATGATGGGCTTCCCAGCTCCTACCCACTTGTGCCTCCGGCAGCATCCCGGATCCTGTCCCCCCGCATGCTGGGCCACATGCTGAGCTCCTGTACCCCCACAGAACACCAGACTTCCCCCACCCCACAACGTGCCAGGCTCCTGGCCTCCCTCACCCCCCGCAGTAAACGAGGACCCTGGCTCCCCCCAAACTCCACAGCACTGTGGGACTCTCTGCCGAACCACGGATGTTGTGAGACCAGAGAGCCCCAGTTTACAGCAGTGCAGCCTGTACTATCATTCAGAAGTGAGATGTACCATCCCTTACCTCCTCTGGCAAATAAGACCTTCGCATAATCAGGGTGGGTGATGTTTAAAAATGCTGAGAAACTCCCAAACCAGATGGGGAAGGCATACGGGTACTTCTGGCTCCAGGCCTCTACTTTGTTTAAAACCTCCCCTTCTTGTAGAAGCTGCAACAGCGGAGGAGAAATGAGAGACACAAATAAGGCAGGTTGGAAAAATCTCCACCCTAAAGAACTCTGTTAGTTAGTTTACCAGAGATCACACACCCCGACCTCAAACTCCAGGTGGGGCTCTAGTAGGAATCAGCTCCTCAAACCACACATAGGGCCATTTCTTTGGTTAAAAGAAAAAGTTCAGAACACCTTTTGCTCAGAATAAGAATCTGCGTGAATAAACCCGCCTGACCTTTGTACCTCTGGGGTCTCTGATCTAGAGATTCCAGCAGAAGATAAACAGATACTGGCTCTCTTCTCAGGGCATAGCTTCACAAGGCTGGGGTTTTGCATAATGGGTGGGGAAGGTCTAGGTTGAATATTAGGAAAAACTATTTCACTAAGAGGATGGTGAAGCACTGAGATGGGTTTCCTAGTGAGGTGGTGGAATCTCCATCCCTAGAGGTTTTTAAGTCTGAGCTTGATAAATCCCTGGCTGGGTTCATTTAGCTGGAATTGGTCCTGCCTTGGGCAGGGGGCTGGACTTGATGACCTCCTGAGGTCTCTTCCAGCTCTATGATACTATATTTGCATTCATCTCCCCCTAGAAATTTCTATGAAACCCGATTAGCCAAAAGTTCATTCTTGTCTGCCACATTATTTAAAAGAGTCCTTTGACTCCAGAGTTTGAATTAGTCACATCTCCTGCTAGCGATGTTACATACAAACCTACAATAATACATAACCCTTTGCATTGTAAATAAATAACTCCCCAAAAAACTCAAACCTAATCCACTAAGCGTTGGCTTAATTCCATAAGGTTGGTCCAGGTTGTGCAGGGAGATATAACTGAGAGATGCTTCATGCAGGATAATGCATGTAAGGTGTCATTGGAAAGGTTATGATTTACTGACTGTGATTCTCCTATTTAGATGCCAGGGTCACTTTTGTGTCCGATGTAAGGAATACTGACCACAGATCTGTATTTCAACTATGCTACTTTGGGTGGGTCTGCACGCAATGGATCTGCTTTGGCAGAAGGCACGAAGCAAGGCTTCTGAGGTCAGAATGGATCCCCCTAACTCACTACACCAAAATCTGACATTACAGAGAGAGGGAGCCATTCACAGAAGAATGCCATAGAGCTTGGATGGGTAAATCATCTATTGGCTATAAAATTCTGTACTCACGGGCGGCGGGTAATGTAGGAAAGGGAAAGCATTGCCTTCCCAAAAATGGCTACAATCCATGATCACCGGGAAGGCTGGGGCTGCAGTTCCCCGGCCATCCAAGAAGGCTGGGGTTGTGGCCTGGCAGCCTGCCTCCCCGGCCACCCGGGCAGGCTGGGGCCGGAACACAGTAGCTCAACTTCCTAGCTGCAGGAGAGGACTGGAGCTGTGGCACGGCATCCCCAGTCCTCCAGGTGGCCAGGAAGGATCGGGCTGGGGTTGGGCGGGGCTTGGCTTGGCTTCACAGGAGTGGCAGTGAGGTTCCTGAAGGGCGGGGCCTTGGGTGGAAGGGGCGGGGCTGGAGCTTGGTTTCCCCAGCTGGACCTTCACCCGCCGTCCATGACCGTACTATAAATATTTATCAAAGTGTATCAACATGGATTTTGTACTCTCTGGAGCAAAGGTAAATACCTGCCTTATACAAGCTGTCTTTATGCCAAGGCGAGGCCAGAGCAGTCCTGTCAGCTCCAGAGGATCCTCTTTCATCTTCCATTTTTAAACAGACTCACAAAGAAATAGGCTCTGATTTGTACCCATGGACACTGAGGAACTGAGTCTTACAGCTAAGTCATCCATTTGTCCACTAATTCCAAACGGCCAATGAAACAACATGGTGCAGTAACTAAAGCCATGGCGGCATTGAGGACTTGATTTTCTAGGGTGTTGGAAAGAAATTTGTGGAGGCAACACCAGGTTCGTAATAAGCAAGGAGTTAAATCTGGCATCCTCTCTCTCTTCCCTCCTCATTGTAACTGCTCAGTAGGGGAGCTATGGGCCTCATTTTTATTTACAGGAAGGGCACTTAGCACAGCCCTAGCAATGCAAAGGGGCCGTAGACTTGGTGTAAGTTAAATTAAAGATACATTTAAGTTGCTGGAGAGTGATACAGGGGTGTTAGTATAAATAAGAATCAGACCCAAGGGATAGGAACCAGCCTGGTTTATTCTCATGTTCTGCAGACCAGGTAGAAGCTCAGCTCAATAAGGAACTTGCTCGTTGTGATCAATTTTTGCTCATGGTAACTTGTGATCTCTGGTGACAGCAATTTGCACCTGATGAGAAATTCTTGGTATGTCTCACTTCAGCAGAGTCACCTCACTGGTTTACATACAGAACGTGGCATCAGGCATGAGCCACAACTTGAGGGCTGGATACAGGATTCCCCTGGCCAAGGTGCAAGACTTAACTCTCAGGGTACATCTTCACTACGGAGAAAATCAACCTCCAGGGGTCGATCTAGCGTTTGATTTAGCAGGTCTAGTGTAGACCCCCTAAGTCGAACGTTGAGGGAAGCCCCTGCTGGCATCCTATATGCCTCAATTTGCAAGGAGTAAGGGAAGCAGACCGGAGCGTGTGCTCCCGTTGGCCTTCTGCAGTGTAGATGCTGCAGCAGCTCGGCTTAAGGTAAGCCGAATCCAGCCACACATTTTGTGTAGCTGGATGGTATACCTTAAACTGACCTGCCTGGTCTAGTGTAGACCAGGCATTCACCCATTAGAACAGGGATTGTCTTTACATTCTGTGTGTGTGTAGCACCCAACCCTTTGGGGTCCTGGTCTGTGACTGAGGCTGCTAGGCGCAAAGGGAATACAAATTGTAAATAATATAGTAGCATCTATGGTCCTCACCCAAGACCATTGACATTAATAGATCAGAGCCTCCTCACCCATCCAGAGAATACCTAGCTGCCTAGGACAATGGTTCCCACTTTTTTATACTGGGGACCGGCAAACCCATTCACGAACTTTTGGCAGACTGGTAACATTTTATTTGTATATTCATTTTGAAACTAATGAATATGCAAATATACAAAAATGTTACTGGTCCACCAAAAGCCCCATCTCCCAAAGCCACTCCGAACAGCCGGCTTCAGGTCCGTCATCCCCCTTCCTCTTAGAGCCCCCCCATACTCCTCCCACCAGATCCCCCCAGTGCCAGCCTCCTGTTTCAGGTCACGCAGCTCTGGTCCTGGCTGCTTGAGCAGCCACCTGCCACAGGTCACGTGGCCCCAATCCCCAGCAGCAGCTGCCACCTGCCACAAAGCCATGGCCACGGCGACAGCTGCCCCTCAGTGCAGCCTCGGTTCTGGGAGCAGCTGGGCCAGGGCTATGAGACGGCAAGGGCCAGGACCTCAGAACTAAATATAACAGCATGGCCCCGGCTCCAGTGTCGGTATACGGGGCATGCTGCACTGTGAGCCAGGACTGGAGCTGGGGCTATGGTGCTATTTTTAGTACCGTGGTCTGGGCCCCAGCAGCTGCCACACAGCTGCGTCTCCAGCTGCTCTGAGGGCGGGGCCATGTGGCAGGGGGGTGCCCC